CTGCCCCCGCGACCGAGGTTCGCGCTTCCCGCGGGCCCCGCCGCCTCCACCTGCAGGGGTCGCCCCGGGAGCGCGGCCCGCCCCCTCCGCCCCCTCCCGCGGCGCCATGCGCAGACTCAGTTCCTGGAGAAAGATGGCGACAGCCGAGAAGCAGAAACACGACGGGCGGGTGAAGATCGGTCACTACATCCTGGGAGACACGCTAGGGGTCGGCACCTTTGGCAAAGTGAAGGGTGAGAACCCCCGGGGCAAGGCTTGGCCCCAGCTAGAGAGCCAGGCGACTTCCGCTTTTCGCACCTCTTCATCCTCCCCTACCCACCACTACGTTCCTCGTCTCCCGTGCTCGGCAGCCCCTGTCCTGGCTCCTGCGGGAGCAGAGACCGAGGCCGCCGCGGGACTATGGCGCGGCCTTCCGAGGCCGGCTCGGGCTGCGGTGGGGACCGGTCGCCATGGCGACGGCGCAGTGACCGGAGGGGCTTGGTCGGTGTGAGGGGCGGGGATGCGGAGGTGCAAACTTTCCCAGGTGGGAGAGTCAGAATCTGAGCGGTGCGCTCCGGGTGCTGGGTGAGGGCGCCAGGGTCTTAGGCGGGAGCCCGGGGAAGGTGGCCTCCTGTTTGCCCCGGTTGTGCTTCCTTGGCTCAGGGCCAACCCATCGCTTCCTTGGCGGTTCTCAGCGTTGTCCGTATTTCCGTCCCTCTTTAGGAGGCTGTCGACTTACCTGCCCCTGGTGTTTCCCAAGCGTGAGTTGTGTTCCCCGAAAAGTAAGGTTGCTTTGGGGGTAGCCTACAGAATGAAAAAAAAAGGCCATCTCGTCGGAAAGGATCACCGATTTCTTCTGAGCAGTTGATGAATTTAAACTGGTTCTACATTTGTGATGCATAGTGTACGCTCTCAATGAGACTCTGTGCCTTTAGTGTTTCTGAATTACCAAGAGTTTTGCAGTCTCTGTAAGCGAAACCTGGTAGTCAGTGCAGATGTTACCTCCAGATAGCATTTATTAGTTTATTAATGCAGTTCATTTCCATTTATTTTCAAAGGATATTTATATTTTATTAAACGTTTTAGTGCACATCATTCGAACTTTTTTTTTTTTTTTAAAAACGAAAGTGTAGAATTTCTTATCCTGTGTTCCAAGACAGTATTCTGGAAATAATAAACCTGCTGCGCAGTCCACCAATTCTGGCGCAGAAAGTTTAATTGCAAATTTTGTGAGGCATAAATTTTTTTTCTTTAAAATATTTGACTTTGTTATTAGGGATGTAAAGGAAGGAAGTTTGGAACTGATGAAAATAATTCATGCATTGGCTTTGGATAAATAATAGACTATGGCTTACATATACTAAGTTCCTGGTAAACATTTGACTTGAAACAAAGAAAGTTTGTGAAAGTCTGTACGGTGAATTAACTGAGCCTTGCTGTTCCAGAGCTAAATAAACATTTTCTGATTTTATCTAGGGTTGGAAGAGGAGAACCCTTCCTTCTCTTGCCCTTTGTGAGTCATAGAACTGGAAAATTGCTGTATAGCCCACAGGGAAGCAACTGCCTAAACCTTCTTGTGAAAATCAGCAAGGCCAACAATGTAAGGAAGTAAGAAACAAATGCCAGAATAGGATAATAACAGCTACTAGGGCGGGTCCGTATCAGGCCAGTAAAATGTTTCTGTGCCCTCAAAGTTTTTTATTTTTGGCTTTGTTATTTCTTGTTAGCAATTACAAACTGCTTTTTAGTTTACAAGTATTTGTAAAAAATACTCATTAATGCCCCCATCCCTTCCCAGAGTTCTTACTGCTTGGATTATGGTATTAATTATTCCCCTAATATAGATCTGAGTGAAGGCGGGTCTATTTGCTGAGTGGCTTTTGGCATAGCAGGTAGGAAAGCAAGAAGAGATTTTTCATCTGCTGGATTTGGTCTGTGATATGGCTGTGACATGAATCTCTCCAGTGACTTAGCTGTTTCTTACCCTTCACTTCTTCACCCACCTGTGCTTCTCTTGAAGTACCATACTCTGTAAAGTCAACAATGTCCCCAAATATAGAAAGGCCGATATTAGAGGATCATAGGTTTCATGGATGTGGTTACGTTTGTTCATGAACACATTTGCTGATGTTGGTGGTCAAAATCTTTAACCAGTTCATTTTTTAAGTTGTTAAATAGTTGGGATGCTTTTTGCCACAAGTAATGGAAAATCTAACTCAACTTAGCCAAGAACATATCTATGGTTCTCTCTCCAAAGCCGGGAGTCCCAGCATACCTCTCATGAGTTTCATTGGCTCATCCAGTCCCTCTGGGTAGGGATGCCATGTGCCAATTGGTTTAGGCTTATGTTCCTAAACAGGCACTAGCAACAATCACAGCTCACTGCAGTCCTGAACACCTGGGTTCAAGCAATCCTCCTACCTCAGTCTCCCCAGTGGCTGGGACTACAGGCGTGTGCTGCCACACCCAGATAATTTTTCTTATTTTTTTGTAGAAAAGAGGTCTTTCTATGTCCCCAAGGCTGGTCTTGAACTCCTGGCCTCAAGTGATCCTCCTGCCTGGGCCTCCCAAAGTGCTGGTATTACAGGGGCGAGGCACTGCACCTAGGCACTACTATAGGGTAGTAATTGGATAGTATGAGGAGACAGGAGAGACACCTACACAGAAATGGGTATTGTTAGGGTAGAGAAAGGGGGACATGGATGCTCAGTGAATAGGCAAAAATAGCCACTATAGTGGTGATGTTGGTAACTAACACCAACAATCTTAATTTGATAAGAATTCTTATAAATAATAGGATTAGTCATGTATTTTATTTTATTT